TCAAAACATCAATGGATACTGTAGCGCATCATATGCTTGAAGTATCTCACTAATACTCTGAACTGATTTACTTCGGCTCTTGAAGATCATGTCCCTTCTATCAAATTGTTGATCCACTAACACAAAAGCCACTTAATTTTTTGTGTGTACCAACCTCTATGTTCTTCTGGTGATTTTTTATCGGCATCTATGAAAATTGGAGATGATATTTTACTGTTTACAAAAGATGTAATAGTTAAATGGTCCAACTGTGAAAAAAGATCATGCTCTTTGACAGGTACCTCCATGCGACGCTGTGTAATTTTCTTCCCAACAATAGGCAGATAGGCGTCAAAATGTTAATAAGATAAATCATTCCTAAATTGTAATCGCCTTACTGGACAAATATCTGTTTCGTACTCTGTGTATAGCAGACCGTTTCGATATACTTCAAACTGAAAGGGAGATATTAATCCCGCAGGTTTTAATTCACAAAGTCCACCATAAGTTTCATTTTTTTAACACATTGGCTGGGTATTCATTTTCTGTTGAATAATTATCGCCATTTCTGTCGTAGGTCATAACTGAAAACCTAGGCCAATCATTTACCACAAATCCTACCTAACCGTGACGTATAATGGGGACGACGTTATGTTTTTTCAATTTTTCCTTTAATACTACGAGTTCCCTTAGTCATTTTTTAGTGAGAAAAAATATTTCTGTCAACAATACCTAATCACAAAGCAAATCGAATTCCCAGTTTCAGCAGTGGTTTTAAGAAAGACAAAATCAAGCAACTAATCCGAAACACGAAGCAAATTTTAAACCGTAAGCAAGCAAACAAAGTCTAGTCAAATATCCGTTAACAGTGAATAGGTACCGTATGTCGTACAGCTAAAACACAACGTTACCGCGTTATAAACGTTACCAACGCCATCTATCGGTAGGGATTGGAACTTGAAGATAAATACAAAATAGGGAGGTACCTAAGTATTTCTTTTTGTGCCGGACGGGCGAAACTCTCCGTAGTAAATGTTTTCGAAGATACTTCGCGAGCCGCTCACATCCTACACCTATAGGTTCCCGTGGGTACTTACACTGCCGTCTTTGTGGGTGCCGCTGAAATATTGTGGACTGAGGTTCAAATCAAAATGCACGATTAATAAATACAAATAGCAAGGTAGTGGCCAGCGGTTCGACTGATTGATTAGTCGCGAAATTTTATAACTATTGACCACGGTTGTTGAACTACCGTTGTTCACTATTGGTTGGTCACTGTATATTTCAAAAGATTTCTTTAAATTGTACGGTAGTATCAAATATCTATTGGTAGTAGCTGGTTTTCTAACACTACTGACTAGCAGCTATTATCAACTAAACTAGCTGATTTTATCACTTGTGTAACTGCGGATATCAGTTACCACTTTCACTATATGTAACTGCGAATATCAGTTACGACCTCTTTAGGCTAGCTAACACTTTCACTATATGTAACTGCGAATGTCAGTTACGACCATTTTCGGCTAGCTAACACTTTCACTATATGTAACTGCGAATATCAGTTACGACCTTTTTAGGCTAGCTAACACTTTCACTATATGTAACTGCGAATGTCAGTTACGACCTTTTTCGGTTAGCTAACACTTTCACTATTCACTATATACTGCTACTAGTCACTTCAGCTATCACCGGATACCACTCACTTCACTTCACTTGTCACTGGTAGTTCTTCACGCTACTACTCCTACTGGGTCCCGAGACCCTAAGGTAGACTTTAGCAATACTTTACAGTGAGCCGCTTGCCATTTTCCGTTTTGCCTCTTTATTGCATAAACTTTTCACTATGCAAATGGCATAAATTACGATATTTTATATACAAAACTAATTGCTACACTAACATGCTATACATCATCAAATCGGTAGTCTGGTACTTTATTAGTATATGATAAAGGTTACTAAAAACATTAACATTGTAAAAAGTTATTAAACGAAATGTCCCAAATTTTCATAATATTTGGGTACATTAATTCTTTGATTTTCCAATAACTATCAAATGCGTTTAATTATACAAAATATTCCTACACTTCCTTAATCTATAAGCCATATGCTAATTCAATGTCATATTTACAACTCTTTTAGAACATAAAATTATTTTCATTATTTTTTGGTATGAACTATTACGCAGTTAATTAAAAAACTTCTAGAGAGTTCTACGATAAGACGCGCTGTGATTGGTCGATTTTTCTTTATATAATAAAAGTTGTTTATATCACTTGTTATCAAAACGCCATTCTATACAAATATACTAAGAGTTATAAAAAAAAGACGTGTGGCACTCGGGGACTGCCGCGGTAAAGCTATTGCATAGCATTTTGTATCAACTTATGCAATTATAATTATTTATTTATTTTATTTATGCAGTATTACTTTTTCTTTGATATTAATTCAAGTTACACTTTTTTGAGCGTGGTGACCGATAAGAAAACAATTTTTTTTCTTTTTATTAAATAAATAAATAATAAATGCACTTTGTTCACTCATATTCAAAACACTTTATACACAAATTTTACAAGTACAGCTATTCACTGTTGTACATAAATACCTATACACCTATATACTTTTGTTGAGCCACGTGGTGGCGGTGTAATAGAACCATGAGCCATCACCCCTTTGGATCCAATGGGTGTCGTAAAAGACGATAACAGTCAACGACAGAAAACTTTTATGGCTTCCGATAGATGGCATAAAGCCAATGCCCATCTTGTTTACACCTATTTATTTTATATAAGAATTAAAATACTCGGACCGGCGAGGAGCAGCAGAACAACAGAACATGATATGCTTAAGAAGAGAAACGAAACTGTTTGGTATTAGAAATTAGACATTTCCATCTTAGTCCTCGGAGGTGACTACGCGTCTACATTTTGATTTTTAATCGATAACTGATGTAGATATGGGCGACAGCATCCACTTACAAGTTAATGGACTGTATGCTTATTTGTCACCCTTACTCTATAAAAATATATAAAAACCTACTCCACTATTAACAAAATTAAATTTTTGCAGTAATATTTTACGATTTTATTTCGTAGTGCTGAGCTCTCGCAACGCGGCGTACGTCCACCTAGCAACACGATGCGCCCCGCACTGAATTCGTGGACGAATGCGAGGGTGATATAGACGCAGTATTTAATCGGGACGCATTTTTAATTTATTATCATAAAAATAATACATATTTCTAAAAAGTAACCAAACCAAATTATTTTATTTTGTATTGCAAAGCAGTAGATATTTTTTTTATATTCCTTTGATAAACAATGAAGGAGTAAAGTTGTTTCATCTCAACGATTTGGAGGTGATTTGGGTATTTTTTTATTTATTATGTGACACCGATAGAAAAATTATGGCTAAACCAAATTACGTATCAGATCATGTAGATTACTAGCTATTTTTTCATATGTAATTTCTCTGTAAGTATCGACGAAAAGTTGGTTCATCTGCACGCTTTTTTCAAGCTTTTTTGCGAGAGAGCAGCCTTAATAATAAATGCACTTTGTTCATTCATATTCAAAATTTCAAAACACTTTATACATAAACACCGTGTCGAAGACTGAGGAAAAGAAACGACGTTAGACCATCGTTAGACAATGCACGGCCTTCGAGCCACATCTCCGTGCCCGTCGGAGAGCGTGAGGTTTTTTTCGTTACGAAATTCCTGGATTTTCCCGCACTCAAGGCCCGCGATAGAAGCTATGCAATAGCTTAACATGCTAAACAACTATATTAATACACGTTTTTACCCAGTTTTGTCGGTAATTTCATTATTAATACAAAAAACAATATTCTTTATCGCTTTGTTTCTTAGCGTTGTTAGGCCGTCGCGAACATTTTTGGTTTTGCTATTTTATTAATTTGTAAAAAATATATTTGTTATGGTTGTTTATTCTCATTGTTTTTTTTTTTAATTTTTAAATTAGTTTCTTTTTTGTTCAGGTGTAATTTTGTGCAAGTTTTTTGTACAAATATTCTTGTCTATTTTGTTTTGTGCAATAAAAGTATATTCTATTCTATTCCAATAAATTATGTTTAAAATATTTATCAATATCATTTACGTCATTTACGACAGACGAAAAATCTTAAAAATGACACCCATGATGATTTTTACATACAAACATACATCCATCCATCCTTCCATCCATGATAGTTTCAAACCATAATCGATGCCATATTCGTAATTAACGACCCAAAAACCATAAAACGACACCCATATTGACATTTAAACCAAATTGCACCCCCACAGGGGACGATATTTCCCGTCTGCTTCGATGGATTTTGAAAAAGCTCTTGTTTTAGTAATCAGCGACCCGATAAAACATTAAAACGATACTCATGTTGATTTTCAAAATTCGTCACTCATTTTCCACCTTTTAGGGGTTGAATTTTTGAAGAGCCTGAAACACTTGTTTACTCATTTATTGATAGAATTACTCCTGTGAAGTTTTGAATAAAATATTTTAACTAGTCTTGTTTCCCCCATACAAACTTTCAACCCTTTTTCACCCTCTTAGGGCTTGAATTTTTAAAACATAGGACACGTAGTTGCTTATTTCTGATTGTTAACCTAAAAACCAAGTTTCAGGCTTCTAGCTCTAAAAATGACGGATTTACATACAAACTTTTAACCACTTTTTCACCCCCTTAGGGGGCGAATTTTCAAAAAATCATTTCTTAGTGGATGCTTTCGTCATTACAACTGTCTGTATGCCAAATTTCAGCGAAACCCATTCAGTAGTTTCGGCTGTGCGGCTGTTGTATATATATATATATATATATATATATATATATATATATATATATATATATATATATATATCGATAATAATGCTAAAAATATTTTGGATCTGTGAAGATCTAAAATATTTTAATTTTATTTGAAACCTTAACATCAAGTCAAACGTATTTTTTATTACATATCAAATAAGCATGAAAATTACAGTCAAATTTATTTCTTTGTTTCAGAAATGAATGCAGTTAAAATAGTGAAAATAGTAGTACCAGAAATAATACAGTACGGTGTGCAAGACGCTGTGATTCTAGACTGTGACTATACTTACGGTAATAACACATCAGGACTGGTAGTGAAGTGGTTTTTCAGAAACAAAGCTAGACCTGTCTACCAATGGATTGTGTCGCAAAAGCCACAGGATATGGGAATATTGAGAGGTCGTGTCGATTTAGCATACAGAGCATCTAACGATCCATTAAAAATGTACAGAGCACTCCGCATAGTGAAGCTCAATACCGACATATCTGGTGATTACACGTGTGTTGTTTCAACATTCATGGAAGAGGATTCAAGAACTAAGCAAATGATTGTATTTGGTAAGTTACTTTGTTAAACTCGTTAAATATGTCCAATATTTGTACAAAATCACACTGATGATGTAGATATTTGCGTGGAAAATTAACCTTTTCGAAAAACTGTTGAGGCTAGGTGTTGAACTTTTTCTAAAATTTCAGGTCATGTTAAAGCGTCGTATAAAAAGTTTTCGTGTTGAAGTATATACATTTGTATGAGTAGCGCGCGTGTTTGCACTGTTTTATTAAATTATGTTTTTACTAAACGGCTTGATTTAATGCACGAAGTAAATGATGTTTAATGTTAAAATACTAAACGCTATTAAATAAAACAGCAATAGGTATTAGTACTTCTTGTCTTTTTACCACAGTATTATGCACTGTATTCTCGGTAAAACGGTAAGTGAGGTAGAATAATTACAGACTCTGAGAAATCTTAATTTGCAGAGAAGATAACGCAAGATGTAAGCATTTCGGTTAATCATGGGTCACAATAACACCCACGGGGTCTGTTAGGTCGTTTTCTCACTGTAATATTTTATTAGATAAAGGTTTGTTAATTTTGCCCATTTTTTCATGGGTAAAGGTCTCACGGTGATATGTGGTGGTAAAGATGGGACCAAACTATAAACAACTAATTCATCACCATCTAGGCAAAGAATGTTCTCCACCCTTCACTCCCTAATACATTAGGATGGGGATTGACAACATTGATATTTGGGTGGTTATTTCAGAAACAGTTATAGCAAAAAAAAAATCACACATCACATTAAAGCGTTTTCAACATTTGGATGTATTTGCTAGGACTCGGTAGGCATCTGTAACTCGCCTCTCACCCAGAGGGGTAGGCAGAGTCTACAGAAATCCATTTGGCACGATCTTGACATACCTCTCTGGCCTACTTCACATCCATATACCTACGTATACATGTTCGTCGGTAGAGGTCACTCTTAATTTGGCTCATTTTCAATATATCGTCAATTTGGTCGATTAACTTTCGCTCAGGACGTCCCTTTCTGACTCTTCCGTTTACTTCTGCAACTTAAATTTGCTTTGCCATGATCTACTTATTTATTCTTTCTACATGACCAAACCACCGAAGCATTCCCTTCTTAATCCTGGTCAAAACATTGTCTTGCAAACCACACTTTTCTTTTACCACACAATTTCTCACGCTGTCACTCAGATTCAGCCTTGACATACTCCTTAACAACATCATTTTTACTGCATTTGTTCTACTCTCGTGCTTCTTTTGCGACACCCAACTTTCACTACCATACGTTAAAGTAGGGACTAACACAACATTGCGAATTGCCATACCCACCTTTTTTGACACATTCTGACTTCCCACAATAGAGTGCAGAGACCTATTTACTATATTTCCTGAGTTTACTCATCGTTAGGTCGAGTAGGTAGTAGCAGTAGGTAAGTAGATTATAATAATAATAATAATAATAGGGCGTAGGGAAGTGACGACCCCATCGCCCGTTGACGTGACGGTTATGTGACAAAACCGCTACGTCCGCGCAGTCAGTCAGCACCTTGCCAAGAGGTGTGAGCGCCGTGCCTCGGCAAAAATTGATGGTGCAAGGGCCCGCTTGTGCATATGGCCTCACCATGAAACGGCGCCGGGTCTGGGCGTCTCCCGTTAAATGACGCCCTGTATGGATGATGGAACATAGAAGATTGCGCAAAGGGCCGCTGCCTGGAGGTCGTCAGGGCGCGTCTGGAGCTGGCGCTGGACGCGACAGCATGCGAACCGCCAGCCGAGCGCGAGGTGCTGCACGACCACCCAGCAGCCCCTCGCATCCATCATCCCCACCAGCTTGCTTGGTGTCGGCAGGGTCTTCGCAGGCCCAGCAATCGGCACCCGCCACTGGTGGAGTACGCCGCATGCGATGGACCATCAATATGAATTCAAACGCATTGCGGGCGTATTTTAGGGCGAAAGGGGGAGAAATTGGAGGTTTCGCGTATCGGGCTAGGATGCATCGTCTTTTTACTGAGCTGGAGCCATCTATTACTGTCACCGAGCAAAACCTGGCAGACCGAGTTCGGTATATCTTACGCTCAAATATATTTGATGGCGCCGAACTCGAACGGCTACGACGTGAGGCTGTTCCCTCATCAAATGAAAACGCTACGACTGAGGGTGCGGAGCCACAAGTTGCAGAACAACCCGCACACGTGGATGCCGCCGAGAATACCCCAGTGGTTGCTGATTCAAATGATGAAGGAACATTCACCCAGGAACTAGAAATAGAGCAAATGAGGAGTACATTGGAAGAGGCGATTATGGAAACGCGCAGTACGCCTCTCGAAAATCGACCGCGACTTCCCCGCATAGCCCTAAGCAAGCGGAATCGGGCTGTCGTGAGGGCTCTGAACCCAATGCTGGTGACCTATTTGGAAGCCAGCCGGGACCTTTGCGAGACGGACTCAATTCTCTTTGGCGCCGCACTGGCAGTCTGCCGTATTATAGGCGCCAAACTTTCCACGGCTGGACGCACTACTGGACAAAGTAGTGCTATCCCAGCCTGGAGAACAAGAATTGAAGAACGTATCGCAAAGACTAGGGCCCTCATCGGCAGACTGATATGCTTCAGGTCAGGCAATACCAGGCCAAGGATTGTGCGCACCGTCAGGATGGCGTTTGCTGGGACAAATGTTAGTTTGTCCCAGCCGGATATAATGCAAAAACTGACGGAGCGCATAGACGACCTGAAGCAGAGAATCGCTGCTTGGGGAAAGCGAATTCGGCGATATACCGAGAGGTCGACACTGTTCAACCAGAATCATCTCTTCCAGAGTGATCAGAAGAGGCTCTATAAATCATTGGAGCGACCAATGGTAAGTGGAACGGGCCCAGTACCGAATCAGGCCGACACGGTCGCGTTCTGGCGCAGCCTGTGGTCAGAGCCCGTAAACCACAACGAGGGCCCTTGGACGGAAGTTGTGGCGAGTCAGTGTGCGGGTATTACGCCCATGGACCCCGTCACCATAACGCCGGATGACGTAGCTGAGGCGGTCCGTAGGGCCCCGAACTGGAAAAGTCCGGGACTCGACGGGCTGCATCACTATTGGCTGAAGGGGTTCGTGGTGTGTCACACTGTGCTCGCCCGACAGTTTCAAGAGGTTCTCAACCAGAAGTCGCTCCCGAGCCTCTTCACTACTGGGATCACCCATTTGGTTCCTAAAGGCCAGAGTACCACAGACCCGAGCAAATACCGCCCCATCACATGTCTACCAACCATATATAAGACACTAACATCCATTTTGAGCGCGAGAATCACTCGTCACCTGGACTCAAATCAGGTGATGTCGCGCGCTCAAAATGGATGTCGGGGCGGCGGTCGTGGAACCAAGGAACCACTCCTCATTGACGCGGTCATTGGCAAAGTGGTGAAACGCAACCGTCGGAACTTCTCCGCCGCCTGGATAGACTACAGAAAGGCATTCGTACAAGATAGACTGTACAGTTAGAGACTTCCTCGTGCAGTGTATGGGGCAGTGGAGTACGATCCTTTGTCATCTGGGCGAGCGGATGATGGCTGCGGAGAACCACATAAGGATAAGAAGGGGTATCTTCCAGGGCGATTGTCTGAGTCCAAAATGGTTCTGCCTCTCTCTGAACCCTCTCAGTACCTTACTGGAGGGCTCCGCGAGGGGATTTCAGCTACGGAAAGGAGGGACAAAAGTGACCCACCTTTTCTATATGGATGACCTCAAGTTATTCGCCTCCAGTCGCTCCCATCTTATGGAACTGCTAAACATCACTTGTGGATTTAGCAATTCCATTGGAATGGAGCTGGGGACGGATAAGTGTGCGGTCCTCCATGTTGAGAGGGGTAGGGTTGCTAACTCTAAGGGCATAGACTTATCTATGCCCGTCAACTTAAGGACCCTTTCCGAGGCTGAAACATACCGATACCTGGGTATGTCACAGAACATTGGTATCGATGAGGCTGGTATGAAACAGTCAGTTTGCGACGTGTTTTATGCACGCTTGACCAAAGTGCTTAACAGCCTTTTGTCCGGTGTGAATAAGACACAAGCATATAACGGCTGGGTCATGCCTGTCCTCATGTATACCTTTGGCATACTCAGGTGGACTCAGACTGAACTTAACGCCCTGGATAGAAAAGTCCGCACTACCATGACGTCCCACAGGATGCATCATCCGAGATCGTCGGTAATGAGGCTGTACTTGCCGCGAAAGCATGGTGGGCGTGGCTTCTTGAGCGCGCTCACCATGCATAATCGCGAAGTGTGCAGCCTCCGTAATTACTTCCTGGCGAGATCGGATGATCCATTCTATAAGGACGTCATTTCTTGTGATAAAGGAGTTACCCCTCTATCCTTAGCCAACGAGCAATGGCAAGACCCGGCAGTGCAGACAATTTCCGACCGGGAGACCGTATGGAAGGAGAAGGAGCTCCACGGGAGGTTCTACAAGTCTCTACATGGGCCTTTCGTAGACACAGTAACCTCTCTCCACTGGCTACGCTTTGGTGACCTCTTCGGGGAAACCGAGGGTTTTGTCTGTGCAATACAGGATCAGGTTATTAAGACCAACAACTATCGGAGATACATCCTAAAGGATGGCACCATCGACATCTGTCGAGCTTGTCGCCATCCCGGTGAGTCACTTAGGCATGTCATCTCCGGTTGTTCGGCGCTTTCTAACTCTGAGTACTTGCACAGGCACAACCTAGTAGCCAGAATTCTACACCAGGAGCTCGCTCTGAAATACGGTTTCGTGGATCGGAAGTTGCCGTATTACAAGTACTTGCCGGAAGCCGTGCTCGAAAATGATCGCGCCAGGCTCTATTGGGACCGGGCCATCATCACAGACAGGACTATTCTTGCGAATAAGCCTGATATTGTGCTGATGGACCGGGCACAGTCAAGGATATTTTTGGTCGACATTACCATTCCGTGTGACGAGAACCTCGTGAAAGCCGAAACAGATAAGCAAACAAAATATCTGGACCTGGCTCACGAGGTGACCGACATGTGGGGTGGTCTGCCGACCGAAATTATTCCTGTAGTCGTCTCTGCAAACGGGCTAATCCCAGTCAGCCTCTCGGGTCATCTGAGGCGGCTGGGACTACGTGGCGGACCGCTCCAGGCTCAAATGCAGAAGGCGGTGCTCCTCGATACCGCCCGCATCGTCCGCCGGTTTCTTTCCCTTTCCCCCTAACCCTTGGCCGTTTGGTCTCCCCTGCCGAGGGCTTCCATCTGGTTGGGCTTTTATTTATTTATGTATTTTCGTATTTATTTTATTTTATTGATATTTTTGTATATTTTTCTTTTCATTTTCGTTTATAATTATAAATTTATACATCCCAACCAGATGAGAAAACTATATAGATACCCCACACATAATAATAATAATAATAACGACGAATAATAATAATAATAATGACGAGAACCTCGTAAAAGCCGAAACAGACAAGCAATCAAAATATCTGGACCTGGCCCACGAGGTGACCGACATGTGGGGTGGTCTGCCGACCGAAATTATTCCTGTAGTCGTGTCTGCAAACGGGTTAATCCTAGCCAGCCTCTCGGGCCATCTGAGGCGACTGGGACTCCGTGACAGAGCGCTCCGGGCTCAAATGCAGAAGGTGGTGCTCCTCGATACCACCCGCATCGTCCGCCGGTTTCTTTCCCTTTCCCCCTAACCCTCGGCCGTTTGGTCTCCCCTGCCGAGGGCTCCCATCTGGTTGGATCTTATTTATTTATGTAGTTTTTGTATTTATTTTATTTTAATGATATTTACGTATATTTATCTTTTCATTTTAATTTGTAATTATATATTTATAGAACCCAACCAGGTGAGAAAATTATATAGATACCCCAATTATAATAATAATAAACTAAGAATTGAGTCCGTCTCGCGAAGGTCCCGGCTGGCTTCCAAATAGGTCACCAGCATTGGGTTCAGAGCCCTCATGATAGCCCGATTCCGCTTGCTGAGGGCTATGCGGGGAAGTCGCGGTCGATTTTCGAGAGGCGTACTGCGCGTTTCCAAAATCACCTCATGCAATGTACTCCTCATTTGTTCCAGTTCCAGTTCCTGGGCGACTATTCCATCATCGTTTGAATCAACCAAAACTGGGGTATTCACGGCGGCATCCACGTTTGCCGGTTGCTCTGCAAGTTGTGATACTGCATCCTCAGCCGTAGCATTTTCATCCGATGAAGGAAAAGCCTCACGTCGTAGCCGTTCGAGTTCGGTGATATCAAATGTATTTGAGTTAAAGATATACCGAACTCGGTCTGCCAAGTTTTGCTCGGTGACAGTTACAGATGGCTCCAGCTCAGCAAAAATTCAATTCTCTTTGGCGCCGCACTGGCAGTCTGCTGTATTATAGGCACCAAACTTTCCACGGCTGGACGCACTACTGGACAAAGTAGTGCTATCCCAGCCTGGAGAACAAGAATTGAAGAACGTATCGCAAAGGCTAGGGCCCTCATCGGCAGACTGATATGCTTCAGGTCAGGCAATACCAGGCCAAGGATTGTGCGCACCGTCAGGATGGCGTTTGCTGGGACAAATGTTAGTTTGTCCCAGCCGGATATAATGCAAAAACTGACGGAGCGCATAGACGACCTGAAGCAGAGAATCGGTGCTTGGGGAAAGCGGACTCGGTAATATACAGAGAGGTCAACACGGTTCAACCAGAATCGTCTCTTCCAGAGTGATCAGAAGAGGCTCTATAAATCATTGGAGCGACCAATGGTAAGTGGAACGGGTCCAGTAGCGAATCAGGCTGACACGGTCGCATTCTGCCGCAACCTGTGGTCAGAGCCCGTAAACCACAATGAGGGCCCTTGGACGGAAGTTGCGGCGAGTCAGGGTGCGGGTATTACGCCAATGGACCCCGTCATCACAACGCCGGATGATGTAGCTGAGGTGGTCCGTAGGGCCCCGATCTGTAAAAGTCCGGGGCTTGACGGGCTGCATCACTACTGGCTGAAGGGGTTCATGGTGTGTCATGATGTGCTCGCCCGACAGTTTCAAGAGGCTCTCAACCAGAAGTTGCTCCCGAGCCTCTTCACTACTGGGATCACCCATTTGGTTCCTAAAGGCCAGAGTACCACAGACCCGAGCAAATCCCGCCCCATCACGGGTCTACGAACTATATACAAGATACTAACATCCATTTTCATCAATCACTCGTCACCTGCACTCAAATCAGGTGATGTCGCGCGCTCAAAATGGATGTCGGGGCGGCGGTCGTGGTACCAAGGAACCACTCCTCATTGACGCGGTCATTGGCAAAGTGGTGAAACGCAACCGTCGGAACTTCTCCGCCGCCTGGATAGATTACAGAAAGGCATTTGACTCGGTGTCCCACACATGGCTCAAGAGGGTCCTCGAGCTGTACAAGATTGACTGTACAGTTCGAAACTTCCTCGAGCAGTGTATGGGGCAGTGGAGTACGATCCTCTGTCATCTAGGCGAGCAGATGACGGCTGCGGAATGCTGCATAAGGATAAGAAGGGGTATATTCTAGGGCGACTGTCTGAATCCAATCTGGTTCTGCCTCTCTTTGAACCCTCTCAGTACTTTACTGAAGGGTTCTGGGATGGGATTTCAGCTTCGGAAAGGAGGTACAAAAGTGATCCACCTTTTCTATATGGACGACCTCAAATTATTCGCGTCCAGTCGTTCCTATCTTATGGAATTGCTAAACATCACTTGTGAATTTAGCAATTATATTAGAATGGAGCTGGTGACGGATAAGTGTGCGGTCCTCCATGTTGAAAGGGAAAGGGTTGCTAAATCTGAGGGCATAGACTTATCTATGCCCGTTAACTTAAGGACCCTTTCCGAGGCTGAAACTTACCGATACCTGGGTATCACACAGAACATCGGTATCGATGAGGCTGGTATGAAACAGTCAGTTTTCGACGTGTTTTATGCACGCTTGACCAAAGTGCTTAACAGCCTTTTGTCCGGTGTGAATAAGACACACGCATATAATGGCTGGGTCATGCCTGTCCTCATGTATACCTTTGGAATTCTCAGGTGGAGTCAGACTGAACTAAACGCCTTGGACAGAAAAGTCCGCACTACAATGACGTCCCATAGGATGCATCATCGGAGATCGTCGGTAGTGAGGCCTTACTATCCGCGAAAGCATGGTAGGCGTGGCTACTTGAGCGCGATCACCATGCATAATCGCGAAGTGTGCAGCCTCCGTCATTACTTTCTGGTGAGATCGGATGATCCATTCTATAATGACGTTATTTCTAGTGATAAAGGACTTACCCCTCTATCCTTAGCCAACGAGCAATGGCAGGACCCGGCAGTACAGAGCATTTCCGACCGGTATCCGTATCCTCAATCCGTGGAAAGAGAAGAAGCTCCACGGGAGGTACTACAGGGCTCTACATGAGCCCCACGTAGATACAGCCGCCTCCCTAAACTGGTTACGTTTCGGTCACCTCTTCGGGGAAACCGAAGGTTTTGTCTGTGCTATACAGGATCAGATTATTAAGACCAATAACTATCGGAGATACATCCTAAAGGATGGCACTGTCCACGTCTGTCGAGCTTGTCGCCATCCCGGGGAGTCACTTAGGCGTGTCATCTCCGGTTGTTCGGCACTTTCTAACTCTGAGTACTTACACAGGCATAACCTAGTAGCCAGAATTCTACACCAGGAGCTCGCTCTGAAATACGGTCTCGTGGACCGGAAATTGCCGTATTACAAGTACTTGCCGGAAGCCGTGCTCGAAAATGACCGCGCCAGGCTCTACTGGGACCGAGCCATCATCACGGACAGGACTATTCTTGCGAATAAGCCTGATATTGTGCTGATGGACCGAGCACAGTCAAGGATATTTTTGGTCGACATTCCCATTCCGTATGACGAGAACCTCGTGAAAGCCGAAACAGATAAACGAACAAAATATCTGGACCTGGCTCATGAGGTGACCGACATGTGGGGTGGTATGCCGGCCAAAATTATTCCTGTTGTCGTCTCTGCGAATTCGCTAATCCCAATCAGCCTCTCGGGTCATCTGAGGCGACTGGAACTCCGTGACGGACCGCTCCGAGCTCAAATGCAGAAGGCAGTGCTCCTTGATACCGCGCGCATGGTCCGCCTGTTTCTTTCCCTTTCCTCCTAACCCTCGACTGTCTGGTCTCCTCTGCCGAGGGCTTCCATCTGGTTGGGCTTTCATTTACTTATGTATTTTTGTATTTATTTTATTTTAATTATATTTATGTATATTTATCTTTTCATTTTAATTTATACTTATATATTTATAGAACCCGACCAGATGAGAAAACAATATAGATACCCCACTGAATAATAATAATAATCGTTTATTTCCAATCACAATTGTACATAAAACAAGAACATGCTTAGATTATTGTCTTAACTCTATGATACAATTTTTGTAATATTGACCATTTTGAGAGAGCGGAACCTGTACTAGGATACCCTGGGCTATAATTATGTGTGTGTGTGTGTGTGTGTGAGTGTGTTGGTGTGTGTGTGTGTGTGTGTGTGTGTGAGAGTGTGAGTGTGCGTGCGCGCGCGCATGTGTGTGTGTGTGTGTGTGTGTGTGTGTGTGTGTGTGTGTGTGTGTGGGTCTAAATAAAGGTCCCATAAAAACATGTTGTCGTTTTGCAAACGGTGATGTCTCTTAAGAAATCCTGAATATTAGATCTTTACGTCGTTTATTTATGTGAATAACGTGATCAAAGGTAGTTTTAGCATGATTGTGTGAAATTTATTTTAAGATATACAGCTGTCGAACTGACAGGACTTCCGTATTTGAGTAAATCAGAGAAGTTGAATAGCTATAGGGTTTAAAAAGAATTACTTTTAATACTGCTCTTTGTGCCCTTTCAACTTGCAGGATATAGTTTTTAAAGGTTCCTCCCCATGAAGTTAGCCGTATACGAACGCGACCCTCCTTGGCAGAAAGGAGGGCGCAGCAAATGTCTCCCCTATGAGACAATTTATGTGCAGCAGAGGACTTTAACGGGCTGTAACGGTAAAATTTAAAGTGTACTTTTTTTGCAACAATGTTTTTGCCAATGTCTGTGTACCCGCCTCGATATCTTACAACCGTTAAAAGCCTTGAATAATGTATAATCCGAATATAAGGAACAGTAATTGTAGTCAGTAGTACAAGTTGTGGTACATTCGTAAGTAACTCACTAAAGGATTGACTACGAATTTTTTTTTTATTTATTTATTTAATAATTATAATAATAATAATAAATCTTTATTTCAGACCAGGGTCCATATTTGGTTAGTAGAAAAGAAAAAACAAAACAACACGAAGAAAAAAAAATGAAAAAAATCAATCAATAAAAGGAAAATAAATTAAAAATAAATCAAAATAAATTAAAATTAACTAAAATTAAATATAATTACTAACTACTACTAAGATTAACTAACTAACATTAAATACACACACGCTTGTTAGCATATGTGTGTGCACCATTCCAACTCCTCCAGAGTGGGCTGTCGAGTTTGCACGCCAAAGTGCTGAGAAGGGCATTGGTGCTGTTCACTAAACGGCCCATCATGGATGCAACACGTTTCCGGAAGATCGCGTAGAAGTCGTCTACACGAGCCTCCGCAAACATTGCAGATGCACTGCAGTGACGTGGCTTCCCCAATACCGCTCTCAGCACATTGTTGTACTGCACACGAAGAGTTCTGAAGGTCCGCTGCGTATAGTCCGCCCACAGACTGCACGTGCAAAAAGTCTGGCAGTAGGCTCTAAACAGCGTTAATTTTACCTCTGCATTACAACGCGCAAATCTGCGGGCCAACATATTGCCCCGGACCGACAGCGCCCTTCGCTCCCTCTCTATATCACCGTCGTCCACGAGGCGCTCGTTAACTATATGGCCGAGATATTTGAACTCCGCCACCTGTTTCAGGGGAATACCACACAATCGTATGATTGGCTGAAAATTGGTGGGTTTGTTTTTTCCCCTGAACACAAGGAACTCGCTCTTTTTGGCGTTGTATCTGAGTCCATTTCTCTCAGCATAGTCCTCACATATTTTAAGTAGCTTCCGGAGGCCACTGACCGAAGGACTAAGCAGAACCATGTCATCCGCATAGCTGATGTTGTTTATAAAGACACCATCAACTGAGCATCCGACACCAGCTCTGCTCAGCCCCTCTATCAGCTGGTTGACAAAAAGATTGAACAGCCTCGGTGACGTAAGCCCACCCTGCCTTACTCCACAGTTCAGCTTGTAGGGGTCACTCATAGCGTCTCCCCATTTTACTACATTTGACTGGTTACCGTACCAGTACTGCAACAACGATAACAGTTCCGGCCTTAGGCTCGTTTCCGTCCTAAGTTTATGCCATAGTACTTTATACGAGACAAGGTCAAATGCTTTTGACAGGTCCAAGAAGCACGCATACACTTGCGTTTTCCTGTCAGTGTAGTACCGTACAGTCTGCTTGAGACACATTATTGCGCTCTCGGTAGACAATTCGGGCTGAAAGCCGAATTGAGCGTCGTTAATTTTAGTAGCTTTCTTTAAATGTGTATCAAGCAGACTGTCCAGAACTTTAGCCACGATTGTCGCTAGGGATATAGGCCTGTAGTTGGACCTATCCGCTACATTGCCCGTCCTGTTCTTCACTATAGGCACGACCACCGTCATCATCATTGCATCCGGCAGGTGACCATGACTGACACAGAGGTTATAGAGCATGGTAAGGACTCTGGAAAGGTGCACTCCAGCATATCGCAAGTGTTCGACACTCAGGCCATCATGCCCCGGGGATCTCCCCCCGCTTCATACTCCTTATTGCGTCATTTACCTCACAAACAGAGAAGCTCAATGAGTCTACCCAAGGGTCTACGGTGTCCCGAGCCCCGTCCACTGTTTGACCTACTATACTTAGGGGTTCCACCCTGAAGTGAGTCTTAAACATATTAGCAATGTTTTGACTCCCTGTTATGCCTCCCACTTCCACAGGAAGGCCCGCCCGTGCATTCAGTCTATTTGTTTGTTGCCAGAACCTACTAAACTGCTTAGTCTCGTGTGTAGAGGCTAAAATGTCCATTTTTAATTGATCTTCATGGTCCTGGCACCATTTTAGTTTATTTTTGAAAAGCCTACGAGACTCCCGCATATCGTCGTATGTAACTCCACTACTCGGCCTCCCAGCCATAACCCACGACTGAAAACACAGACGAG